AGTTATCATAATCATTCCAACGATATACATTCATTCCACTAGATGGAATCATTATTATCATATCTTTCAAGTCAAACATAGTTACCTCGTTAGTTTGATAAAAATTCTCCAATAACTGAAAAAGAGCTGATAGATTGTTTTGCTAGGGAGAGTTGAAAATCAGAAATTTGTCTTTCAAAAAAAGAGATAGAGTATCACACATATGTATAATTGATAAAAGCTATTAAAAGACCGCTCTTAAAACAAAATCACAACGTTTTTCATTGAGGACATATGCATATTTTTGTTTATGTTCTTAAATTTAATCTAAAAAGGTTCTCTTTTTAAATTCAACAGTGATTGATACGAGATTTTTGATATATTTATTTTTAAAGAAAAAAGTATAGTAAATCACAAATTAGAAGGTAAAAGATATTAATTTTCGTTATGGCCATATCTAAACGATTCACAGTATTGTAGTTATAACACAGTATAATTTACATACCTTATGATTTGATTCGTTGTATGAGAAAAAGTTTTAGATACAGATGAAAAAATGAAACTGAGTAAGAAATTTAGAACTAAGCACTATAATATAACTTGTTTTTTTCCAACTTCAATAATCATCACTCCATGACGTTTGGCAGACCTATATTTTAATATTAGTCATATTAATAAATAGTAAATAACTGGAATAATTTAAAATAACTATATATATATATAAATCAATAAAATATACATACAAAATTTTCTGTTATTAATAATTTCGAAGGATATGCACAAAATTTTTCTTTTATCGTGGCTGTATTCATTCATAGTTATTCATTATCTTTTATTGTTTCCTAATTATTTCTCAGTCTATCTTCACATCTGAAATGAACTTTTCTGTGTTCTTACTTTTCTCTATGTGCTTATTCAACAATATCTTACAATGAGTTGCATAAACAGCAACATTCGGTCAAAAAAATCAATAAATGCAGGTTACTCGATAAGCTTACAAACACAAAAATATCTGTAATTTGTGTGTGTACAAACAGTACATGCTCAGATTTTCTTATATGGATGATACACCTATATTATGTAAGGCCTTGTTTGTCAAATTCTATTTTTGGACGTTTCATTCAATTTATACTTTCATTTCCTCTGTCGTTCGAGAAATATGCTGAAGCTTTGGAATTCTATCGATCAACGTGGAATATTCTAAAACAAAAAAATGGTTACTTACGATCAAAGATTATTTTGCAAAAACATGACAAGGTGTACTAAAACATTGTTCCAAGAGACAGCTGAGAGTAAAATACTACAAGCTTTAAATTGAAGGAGTATAAGTGTGTGCAGCTGATCAAGGATTGCAACAACTAATTTTAGTTTTTTTATCAACCACAGTAACAATATTTTTAACTTTTATTTGAGTAGGAAACTAATGTGACTCAAATGAAAATAGATTAGATTCATTTATATAGATAATAGATAAATATAGTCAGCTTTACTACGGGTACTAGCTCTGTTGTTCGCTCAACAAATTTCCATTGTAGTTATGAGAACTTTGTCGTTGTTTTTTAGATATACCTTCTAATTACGGGTAAGTTATATGTTTCACTATGTTAGGTTCCAAATACAAACTTCAAGTTTTGTATCACTTCATGTTTGTCATGAACTAATAATTCAGATAACTATGCATCTACATTCTCGAAAGTACAACTATTGATACATAAAATTTACTTTTAGTTGAACACACGCAAAACATATGGAACATAAGAGTAATATCGCCATTAGTGCAGGACATAACATGACGTCAGGATAATAGAACAGACACAAAATGGCGCATATTGAGCAAGGCATACGACGTTGGTAGAACAAACAGAACTAAGAACAGTCACGTTTCTAACATATGATCTTCTTATGTCTCCACGACATGGCAGTTCGAAGATCAGTTTGCATTACTGCAGTTTGGACTACTCTAGTTTTCATTACAACACTTTGGATTAATGAACTTTGCACTAGACCCTAATTTCATCGCAGCCGTTTCATGCAACGTGTGACGAAAGTGCCAGCCTGTCTGAAAAGCCAGACACTTTCGTCACAAAAGGGGTTAACTTTCGTAACCACTATTCAAACATGGTTAACCCTTTACCCTCGACAGCGGTTCTAGAAGAGCCACTACTGGAACAACTATAGAAATAGAGTATTGGTATCTCCAATATGGCCATAGTATGGACAGATCGGTCAGCGCACTCTCGTTTATGCAGAGTAGTTTGGTCACTCGAGTGATCATTGGAGGGAATGACTTGAAAAAGTCCTATTTCGGGCTTTTCGTAAATTTGATATAGTTCGACCATAAAACAGTCGTAGAGAGCTTGGAACGTCTCATTTTGTAGAGAATTGTCTGTTCTATCATTCCACGTAGTTTGAAGGAAACTTTATTCACAGGTTCTGGGTGCAGAAAAACTACAGTGGTTACAAAAACTGATCAACTGGGTGTATTTTTGATTTTTTTCCGCAGCCATAAAGGCTAAAAAAATTCAGATAGTGACTTGAGTAGAGAACATCGTTTCCAACAAGGATTTGAGGAACTAAAAATCATCACTAGATTCTCGATAATAGAGTTTTCTAGAAAACCCACACCCTAGTTTTCAAGCAACCAGTACCTGCGAATAGAATTTTGTTCAAACTACGTAGAATGATAGAACAAACAATTCTCTACAAAATGAGATGTCACCCGAGGTCTTCATGACGTTTTTTGGTCGAACTATATCAAATTTACGAAAAGCTCAGAACAGGACTTTTTCAAGTCATTCTCCCCCCTCCCCAATAGACACTCCAGTGACCATTCTGTGTCATACCATCTCTTATCTAGCTGGCTTTTTTGAAACTTTCTAAAGGCATTGATATTGGTAGTAGACATTATTGTCGTTATATAACACACAATGGGTTATCAAGATGTATCGTGCCTATTGATGGAAAAATATTTTCCGAAAAAGCTCCAATTTTTGTGATTTTTCAAAAGTCATCGATTTTGCAATTCATCTTTTTCGGAGAAAAACCAACAAAACAAAACACTCTTGTTACCAATAGACAGCTTATGGAATTCGCTACAAGACATCTCTGCAAAGTTTTTAAATTCCATGCTTTCTTAATCTTTTGCTATCGATCTACAAATGGTCACTTCGGTGACCAAGCGGGGCGTCATAGATTAAGCTTTCGTCACATGCTGCAGGAATTTTTGTCACATGCAGGGGGAATTTTTGTCACTGTTTCGTCATGTGACGAAATTCCATCGTTACCAGATGACGAAAGTGCTGTGAACCGTTTTGATTTCTAAATAAAAGTAACGGCAGATGAATGACTTACATGCATAATGATTGCCTTTAAATTAAGACTAGGAACTCTATTATCAACTTTATAAAGATGTAAGTTATATTATTGTGAATGTCTCGCTAACTGATTCATTTTTTAACTATTGATAATGATCGGTTGGCAAATCTACTACCCTGAGTAGCGCTGTAGCCGTTCACGCTGATTTGGCAAAAAACTTATCAGTTGACGTGCGGAACTATCAACGTAAAATATTATTCGTTTGCTGCGTTATATTAGCATTCAGTATAAGTAGACAGACACATCACTAATCATCTTGAGCAGCTTTTCAAGAGGAATCACAACTGAAGAAAAGAGGCACAAAAAAGGAAAAAACAGTTGAATTTCTTAAACATTTTTGGTAGACAAGAGATCTTCATCCAAATCACTCTTTCCCTCAAAAAATGAAGAAATCACTAATTTTAGAAACTTAGTTCAGCGGATTTCGACTGATAAGAATACCGTTGACAGTTCAGAATGTCAACTGATGAATTACCGTTGACAGTTGGGAACGAAAACCGCCACGACTACCTCTAATCCTTAGCCACACGGACGAAATGTTTAACAATGAGCTTCAGATATAAACCGAAATCATTAGTACTTGTATTTCGTAAGGTGCGCGTAATGCAAACTTACAGCAAAACTTTTTACTTTACATTGATGAACAGAGCGCGTTCAGCTGGTTAGGAAAATGTATTTTTTAATTTCTAAAAAATCCTTTTCAAGGCAATAAAATCAAGAAGCTTGAAGGACGTAGAAACCTGAAGAATTCTTCAAATTAAAAAAAAACTTCAAATTTTCGTTACTTTGTTAGTTCGGATGTTGAAAATTATTTTTTCTCATTCAGCATTAAAAAATGAATAGAAAAACGATGTTTGATCAATTCCAAAGTTCAAGATCTATCCACTATGGCACTCCCTAAAGTGTCACAATTCTATGACCTATCTAATTCTTCGTGTTAAGGACTAAAGCCTCATTTGAACATTATCAGATTTATTGCAAGCCCGTCTTTAAAAATATGCTTTACATTTTTTTAAAATTTTGTTTCGTTGCTGAGAAAAATCGCTTTATCTAAGACTATCGGAAAAGCGGACAAATCATGCAAATTAAATTTTGATCAGCTTCCTTTTTTCAGAAAAAATGTTAAATTTGTCTAACCATAAGACAATTGTGACAAAGGATAGAGAACTTATTGTGTAAAGTTACGGGTGAGAAAAACAGTCTGCTCTTTTCATTGTTGCTGACTGATTTTACACTCAAGTGCGATTCCAATACTCTCTTTAAATTTTATTCTTTCCTTCTGTCGTTCTGTCACATTCGAAACGTAGTGACGTACCTGGCGAATGGCAAACTCAGCAGAATCAATGAATTTTCTTTTAATATTTTATTTTGATACGTTAATCAACAATGTCAACTGACATTACATGCTCATTTTCGTTTGCCAAATAGAACGAAAGAAATAATATTTGAAGGAATGATTTGCTGTGCTTTTCAAATGGAATTATCTCGAATACTGTTGTCCATTGTGATGGAATTTGACCTGTTCTGCAAACTGGCTGTTTTACTAACAGAAGGCATCTATCACGAAATAGACAATATGTCAGATAGTTCGATCAATTTTTATTACTTTATGTTGAGATTTGATTCTTTCTTTCTAGATAACATCAATGGAGATACGCCATTGGAAAAAATATATTTTTTATTTATGTGCTGGAATTCTATTGAAAATTTTATATAAATATTTGACACATTTCTTACCGCGAGTCAATGAGGAAGAATTGCTGTGTCCTACAAATGCAATTATCTCAAATACTAATAACACCACAAAAAAATTGATTCTTTTGTGGACACCGACATTTTATGGTGACGCTTTTCAATTAAACAATTTAAATAGTATTTACAAACAACGTATTTGTCCGTATTCACAATGTGAGATTACATTAAATCGCTCACAATTGTGTTTGAGTTCTGCTGTAGTTTTTCATTTACGCGATACATTTCTCAATGATTTACCACCAACGAGAAAACGTTTCCAAGAGCAACGTTATGTTTTAATGAATTACGAACCACCATATTTTAGCCCGAAAATTGTTGCTAGAATGAATTCATTTTTTAATTGGACGATGACCTACCGTCGTGATTCAGACATCTTATTAGATTATGTGAACTGGAGAAATCGATCATCATTATCACAAACTACAAAAACACATTATTTAAATGATCGTCCATCACGTATATTATGGATTGCTAGTAATTGTATTTCCGATAGTCGTCGTGAAGATTATATAAGGCGTTTATCAAAAATAGTACCAACAACCATATTAGGCAAATGTCGTCATTCTTTACCATTTCTTTCATCATCATCATGTAACGGTTTATCTTTCATTGATTGTTTAAAAGCTTTTTCTCGTAATCATACATATTATTTTGCATTTGAAAATTCCTTCTGTTTAGATTATGTTACAGAAAAATATCAATTACAAATTCATTTGAAATCGATGATACCAATTATCTATGATATAAAACAACATAACAATTACAATAGATTAGCTATACCTAACTCATATATTGATGCATCTCAATTTGAATCACCGGAAAGTCTCGGAGAATATTTAAATAATCTAACGTTACTAGCTATTGATGCCGGTAAGTCAAAATATGATGACTATTTTCAGTGGACGAATCAATACGAAGCAGTTAGTGAGACATTACATTATAACTGTGAACTATGTAGGAAATTACATGTTGATGGTCAAACTACTAAAATTTATTCAGATATTAAAAAATGGTTTTTTGAAAATGCCAATTGTTATCAATGGTCTGACAAGCACAACCAGTCAATTAAAGTACCATTACGTCAAACAATCCGATTTACCAATCGAGTTATGGATGACACCTTAAGTATTGCTTCAGTCTGAAATATCGATTAGCACTATAGATTGGTAGGTCATTCATACTTTACCCTAATGAACCTTTCTGGTGGTTTTTCTAGCGGTGTACTTGATGTTTTAATTGGCTCTATCTCTTTTGTCTGTCGGTGCTTACAAACTTGTTTAGTGTTAAAAGAGAGAAAAGTCGTCTCGCAACGTATTGTTTGAATCAAACAGGCACCATTCGGTAGGTTGCGGTGATGAAGATCGGCTTTGATCAATCCGTGGGTATCTTCATGCTGAAATTTGCTGATGGACACTGCCGATGAACTTTCAATGGATCCATCTAGTGTAGTTTCAGTTTCTTATGTTTTGTGTATTCTTCAATGCACTCACTCGAATCTCGTATGCATAGGCGCTACAGAAATAAAATTTGAATTTGTAAAACCGTGGTACATTTTCTCAAACGATCACTGAAGACGGAACCTCTCGAGGTGATTCATCGCTTTTGAGCCGATATTTTGCCCACACGTAGCGGATCTCTAGACTAGAATAACCCCCTTGGTTCGGTTGTCTGAGTGTGGGCAAAATATCGGCTCAAATGCGATTAATTACCTCGAGAGGTTTCCTTGTTAGTTTATGCACAATTTCTATAGAGCTATACGTTAAAATAATTCGGTTACACATTGTCCTGAGCCAGTTGCGGCTAATATGAAAAATTAGACGAATCTCTCGAAACATTTCGCATCAGCAATCAAAAACCAGTGACAGTTTGCAAGTATTTTGTCCAAGATTCGAATACCGACTTGTTATGGCACACACTAAAGTTGTGCGAGAAGATTTTTCTAACAGTTGTTTACAGTTGAACATGTTCAAGATATTTTTAAAAGAAGATACCAAGCCGATTATCTTATTAGATACTGATGGATACTTCTCCTTTCTAGGAAAGTTTTCCTGAGATCTTTTGGAAAACCTCTAAAGATTCTAACACTATGTTTATTGCATTTAGCATCAAAATTAATCGATTACCAGACGTTTGGGCGCGCGATATTTGGGCGCAAACGGCATTTGGGCACATGTAGAATAAAAGCATTTAGTAAGAGTGCATTTGTTACAGCATGATGCATAGCGATAAAATATTCTTTAAACAAACTCGGTACGGTGTGAGAGCTTTTTCCAAATTACTCATATCCACCTGTAATCACAGTTTGTTTAATTATCATCGATACTCGCACTCACCCGCACTCGCACCGGGACCTTTGAACTTCAACTATCGTTGCGCCCAAATGTCGGTATACCTACTCATGTATACCAAGAGAGTCATATTTCCCAACAATATAGAGGAACCTCAGGAAAAGTGATGTATACTTCTTTTATTTACCTAAAGACGAATTAAATCACATATAACTCAAGGTTATATCTTTTACAAAAACTATTAATAGATCAGTTTTGAATATTTGTTTCCGCACTTCGGACTGTCTCTGAACATGAAATAATTGCGAAACTTTTAATTAATAATTAGATTACTGAAAAATAATATGTTTAATACAGAGAAAACAAGCTCTGAGACTGCCATTTATTGCACAGATAAAAAAAGTAAAACGTTTTTGCTTAAACGGCAAAATAAATGAGAGCAATCAAAATAGCGTAATAGTTACTGTCAGTAATGGGCAGATCCATGATTACTAATTACTTGAGGATATAAGGATGAGTCGATACCTCGAATACACATATTTTTTCGTTTAATCACTGTAACAGTTTAAGGGGGGGGGGGGCGGCGGGGGGGGGGGGGGGGGGGGGGGGGGGGGGGGGGGGGGGGGGGGGGGGGGGGGGGG